ATTATTATTATTATTATTATTATTATTATTATTATTATTATTATTATTATTATTATTATTATTTATTATTTATTATTTATTTATTATAACAATGCTCAGCGAACTACACACACCATCATATACATTCTTCCCTTTGTTATTCTTTCTATCACGTTGGAAACGCTTTGTCATTTTCCTTGGTTCATAGGATTACCACTCGCCATAGCTGAATTCTTTGGATGTCATATGGCAATATTTCGAATACTTATACGAGCACAGATACCGGATGCGATGATGAGAACGCCGTATTTCAGTAGTATATTCCAAGCGAGTGCTTTTTGGGTTGGGGTCACTTGGTTAACAAAAGTGTTAATGCGTATCCTTTTTATTTCTGTGTACCGTCTATTCAAGATTATTAATGCATTCCAATATTTCAACATGATACACTTAACCAAATTTTTATTATTGATATGAATAATTTAAAGCCACCTCCTTTTTATATATTTCAAATATAATCTTTGTTTCTTCGTATATAACCGCCATGTATTGCTTTTATCGAGCTGTATTGTCTGATCCTGGTTTTATCCCAAAACTCAAATCTCACGAAGAACAAAAACAGGTAATAAAGTGCTTGAATTTTTCTATTAATGAATTTTTCACAAAAGGATTTATATAATACTTTTACATAATATTTATATTTAGCTAGTCATCGATCTTGCCAATCGAGAAATGCTGGATACAAGACATTTGTGTACCACGTGTTTGGTAGGCAAATTAAGAATTGAATGCTAGGTTATTTATTATCTAATTAATAATGATTTTTTCCTCAAAAATTGCAAAATTTAATTTTTATTGTAGATAAAAAAACCATTACGCTCAAAACATTGTAAAATCTGTAATAGATGCGTAGCACGATTTGATCAGTATGTATTTTTCATTTGCTCTTTTCACTCTTAGAAATTTTTGTTTCTGATTACCTTAATATGAATTTTTTAGTCATTGTCCTTGGATATTTAATTGTATTGGGGTGAGGAATCATCGTGCTTTTATGGTATTTTTAATCATGATGATAACAGCAATATGCAGCTTTATATATCTCAGTTATCAATGTTAGTTTACAATAATGAAACAGGTGTTTTTTCTTTGGCAGTCTTTTAATGCATTGCTAAAACATTCTTGTTATTATTATATTTCCATGTATCATTAGATCTTTTAATCGAATCACCATCCTATGAACCAATTCCGCAGCAACCGTGTGTACTGACCACAACATTATGTGGGTTCTTTCAATACGACACCTGGACTGCATCGCTCACAATATGGGCTTCAATACAGCTTTCCTGGAGTTTCGGATTATTAATTATGCAAAGTATTCAAATTGCATCCGCAAAAACGACGAATGAGATGGCGAATTTTCATCGTTATTCGTATTTTGGGCAACGTACAGGATCGAACGTTCGCGAACAGATTATGGCTACTTTAGCCGCTGGGCCTGGAGCTAGCGATGCTGCACAAGTAGGTGACCGAGACGGCAATGATGTGACTGGTCGAGGAAGTGAAGAAGGTGGATTTGGCGATCACGCACGTGTTTTGGATGATGAATATGAAAGAACCAATAATGGTAATCTTCATAGTCATCATAATCACGGTATCCTGAAATTTTTCGTTTCGAAACGATCGCGTGGTGGTGGCTTAAATCGTGCGCAAGGTCATCCCTATAATTCGAGCAATCCGTTCGATTTTGGATGTTGGAACAATTGTGTTGATTTTTGGACGGAAGGGCGTGGTGGGATGTTGCATAATGTTGATTGGTTGGGATTATTTGATGTTCCACTTGTTGAGAGAAACAATAACGTCATGATGAGGCGAAGTGGTGGATATGTGGCAGTGCGTGGAGATGAACATGTATAAAGATCATTTGTAATTATCCATTAATTAATGACAGGGTAACTTGTAAGATCGAGTTTTGAAAGAACTCGATTTTTGAAGATAATATTCAGCCATTGATTGGCGAAAATAAAACAGGCGCGATATCCGCATTTTCAAAAAAAAATTTGTCCTACATGTACTGTTAAAGATATCAAATTCTTTGTCAGAGCCATAATTATATATGCAATAATGACTTCAGAGAATGGCATTTCGGATTGGTCACCGTCCTCATGGCAAAAAAAACCAATAAAACAAGACGTAATTTATGAGGACCAGGAACACTTGAAACAAGTATTAACAAAATTATCGAGTTTACCACCCCTCGTCTCGCCAACTGAAGTATTTATTACTTAATCTTGTGAAAAATTACAAGCGTGCTTTCTAATAATGCCAACGTTTTTTTTTTTTTTTGGTTTTGATAAAAGATTAAAAAACTTCGACACCAGCTAAGTCTAGTTGCTACACGAAAAGCTTTTTTACTACAAGGTGGTGATTGCGCTGAACTTTTTGAATACTGTTCAAAAGTAGAGATTTTATATGATTTTTCCCAAATTTTTCTACAGAATCGATGATGCGTCTTTATAATCTCAATGACATATGTGTATTTTGTGACACTTAACATTCAATCAATTAATTAATTGAATAAATCAAGGAACCCATTGAATCGAAGCTTAAAGTGTTGTTGCAAATGAGTTTAGTCTTAACATGGGGTGCTCGAATACCTGTTGTAAGAATTGCACGAATGGCAGGTCAATACGCGAAACCTAGATCGAAACCCACGGAAATTTACGAGGGGAAAGAGATCCCGTCGTTTCGGGGTGATAACGTCAATGGATTTGATCCATCGGATAGGAAACCGGATCCGGAAAGACTTGTGGGGTGCGTATGTGTTCCTACACCAGTATTATAAAATATATAGAGTGAATATAACGATCGATTTATTCTTATTTTACAGTGCATACTTCCATTCAGCCGCAACTTTAAATTATGTCCGGTCAATTCTTAGTTCTGGTTTTGCTGGTCCGTTATATTTTTTAATGCTGGGCGAAAGAATTGAAATTTCTTTAATTATCAGTAAATTCTCTTTCTTATTCAGATCTTCATCGACCGAGTGAATGGTCTTTACATCACGTCAGGTCAAGCGGAATTCGCCAAGAGTACCAAAAAATAGTCGATCGCCTAACTGACGCGCTAGATTTCATGAAAACGATCGGCGCCGATTCTCCAGTCTCACCCAGTTCTTCGATTCTCAACACGGTTGATTTATTTATGTCACACGAAGGACTCTTGCTCGAATATGAGCAATCACTAACACATCCATTTAAAGATTCGGAATCCGGACAAGAGAAGTGGTACAATTTAAGCGCACATTTCCTCTGGATCGGCGACAGAACTCGACAGATTGATGGTGCTCATGTAGAGTATTTTCGTGGGATTGAGAACCCAATAGGGATTAAAGTGGGGCCTAGTATGAAGCCACAGGAACTTCGAGAATTATTAGATGTTGTCAATCCAAACAAGGAGGTGGGAAAAGTTACGTTGATCACAAGATATGGTGCGACTGAGGTATTTTTATTTACCCCTATTTATCTACCCCTATATGTATATAAAGTTAAGAATGCATCATTCACCCTATGTCCTTAAATTAATCTTTTAGGTGGATAAACATTTACCAAGTCATATACAGATTTTAAAAGACTCGGGTCATGTTGTAGTTTGGGCGTGTGATCCGATGCACGGCAAGTACGTATAAACAATGGAAATGATCGATGTTATGTCTTACGGTGCATTTTGTCGATTTGCATTTACGCGTTATAACAATAATCATAATTAGCACGAAACAATCTCTCTCGGGTGTAAAGACGCGTCATTTTGATTCAATCATCGAAGAATTATCAAAAACCATAAAAATTCATAAGGCTAATGATAGTCATATGAATGGAGTGCATTTTGAACTCACGGGGGATCGCGTAACTGGTAAATACGCTAACACTATTTCGCTAGCGTAAAGCCATAACAGATTATTTCGATGTTCTAAATAATGAATCTCGTTTATGATTTGCTTTTCATAATAATAAATAGAATGCATAGGCGGTTCTATGCAACTTTTGGACTCGGATCTCCCATCAAACTACAAAACTTATTGCGATCCAAGATTGAATTATGAACAGAGTTTGGACATGGCGTTTTTGATCGCAAAGTATTATGAAAAGGAAAGGGATGGTAGCTATTTGCTTAACTTATAATCAGAGGGATAGGAAAATTGGTCTGGTAATTTATTTTCGTTTTCACAGTAAATTGACACTACCAATAGAAGTTTTATCAATTTATTTATTCAACTACAACTTGAAACTCCAAAATCCATAATTTCGATGGATTCAAACGCATTTTTAAATCATGTTTTAAAAATAGATAATTTTAATGTATGTTAGTCTCAATCAGTTGCGGGCGAACAATTACATCGAATTTTTTATTAAAGATATTTTGTATGACTCTTACTTGAGAATCTTTAAATACTACACAACAATTCCAATCTCTAAATTATTTAATTTAAATCCCGCTAAATGACCTTACCAGAATATTATACTTGTTCACCTGCGATAAAACATTCAATCACATTCAAATCATCATCCAAAAACACAAGATCCGCATCCGCACCAATATTCAGAGTCCCTTTTCGATGCTGAATCCCCAACAATTGCGCCGGATGCAAAGTAGCAGCCTCAATAGCCTGCACGATCGAACAGCCGGTAAACTTTTTGAAATTCCGTACACACTTGTCAATAGACGCGACCGCTCCGGCTAGTTTACCGTTCTCGACGACTTCCACGCGTTCGCTTCCTATTTTGCGTACACGAACTTGACCTAAAGTGTACTCGCCAGGCGGCAGACCCATAGCTGTGACGGCATCAGTCACGAGTATTGCACCGCGAGGATGTGCGTCGTAAGCTATTCGAAGGCTGTTAGGGTGTACGTGTATTCCGTCGCATATTATACCATAGAACGGTCTGGGTATGCGAGTGGTCCCAAGTAATCCAATTATTCCGGGATCACGATGATGGAACTATCTTGGTTTGGTTAGATACAGTAATGACGTATATAGAAACGCGTATATTTCGAAAAAAAATTACCTGCTGCATCGCGTTAAACAAGTGTGTAATTAATCGGGCCTTAATCGAAAAGAAAAGCATGAAATGAGAAACAGCATAAGCCATCCTTTATTTAAAATGGTATATCAATCTTACCCCTTTTTCTACAGCTTTTTCGGCCTGCTCTACTGTTGCCATAGAATGCCCTGTAAAAATTAAGAAACATATCGATATAAATATTTAACCTATGTGTTAGGTTTAGAATTCTCTACCAAATGAAAAATTAAACAGACCTATGCTGACAGTTATTCCTGCTCTCGTCAAATCATGAATACTATCCATTATTCCTTCCACTTCAGGTGCAACAGTCATAAGCTTAATTGATTGATTGTTTTCGGTCTCCGAGATTCCATACACTTTAGCGATATCGGCAAACCCCTTTGGTGCATCGCGCAGATTTGATTGTTTGTGAGCACCGTTTTTGTCGTACGAAATGAATGGACCTTCAACATGAGCGCCTAAAAAGTAACTGATTCAATAAATACGCGTTTTTTAAATTTTGTTTATAATTAAATTAAAGAAATCACCTAAGATTTCTGCTCCGTCATTTTTATTGCCTTTGCGTGGGTAGAGTAATGGAAGTATCTACATGAAAAATTCTCATTTCTGTTATCAAATACATGAAAAGGTTTTTGATTATCTCTTCTCTTCCTTTTCACGCACTTTGTGATACACCTCAGGAACTGAACTTATCAAGGTAGGCATAAAACTAGTACACCCAAACTTCAACAAGCTTTTCGCGACTTTCTTCATATTCTCGACGTAAATTTGTTCACCTCCCGCGTCGCATTGCGAAAAGTCAAACCCAAATCCACCATTAACTTGTAAATCAATAAGCCCAGGCGCCACCAAGGCACCTTTCGCGTCAATAACTCTCGTTGGTTCCTCTCCACGGTCAAAAAAATTCCCTAGCGGGTCTATAATTTTACCGTTTTGTAGGTAAAGCACGTCGTCGTGAATTATTCTGTCTCGAACAAGACGACAGTTTATTATTTTGGTAACCGATGCAATATCTTTAGTCATTTCAGAAAATATAATCCTCCACGTATATCCGAGGCGCCCATTCTATTAGTCATGTGAATCTGTCACCACTACGCTAATATCATTTTGGCCTGGCAGCAAGTTTTCAATTATTTAAAAGATTCTAAACCTTTATCGAAATAATTTCTATTAAATCATATCCCATCAATCGAGCTTAGTTTAATGCAGCTCATTTAGAGAAAAAATTCAACAATGAGACACACCAAATGTTGATTCCAGCCCTTTTATAGTCTTATCGTTATCATTACTAGGATTAAATTGATGGTTTAATCGCAATTTAAATGAACAATATCGGAATGTCAAAATCTCCATAAATAATGCACATATTCGGCCATTTTAAATCAATCAACCAATCATCATCCAGAAACTGCAGAAATTGTTTTAACAAAGTTCTTTTTGTCCAAAGGATATATCGATACATTATTTTCATAACATTTGAAGATTCTAAAACAAAAAAAGTGCTATCATTAACATAGAAACAATAATAAGTAAAAATGGCGACCAAAGTTCAAAAGATTATGGTTCAACCCATAGTAAGATAAATTTTTTTTTCCTTCACTTGGAAACATATTAAATAAACAAACGATTCTAATTAATTTTTAGAACTTGATTTTCAAGTATCTTCAAAATGTAAGCATTTGCGTCGGATCGAATCGAAATAGACAAACACTAAATCTTCTATTACTTTTTTAGAAAACCCGTGTACAAATCTGGTTATATGAACAAGTGGATATACGAATCGAAGGACAAATTATTGTAAGATATGATTTTTATATGCAAATTAAATATCTACGTGAGGTTGTTTAACCTTTTTTTTTGTCTGATCTTTAGGGGTTTGACGAATTCATGAATTTGGTACTTGATAATGCGGAAGAAGTTAATTCGAAAAAGAAGACACGGAAAGGATTAGGTTTATATTTTTTTTTAAAAAAAAAAAATAAGCAACAAGATCATTTGATTAATTTTTTTGGTGTTTTAGATGTTTTAGACTTACTTATCGTTTAAAATGATACATTTATAGGTAGGATCTTGTTGAAAGGTGATAATATCACGTTGATCCAATCGCTCTGAATTAATGCCCAGAAATTAAAAGAAAAAATATAGAGCAACAGATCATTTATTCGTATGTTGCGGCCATTACTCGATTCTCTAAATTATTTTTTATATTGGGTTGCATTCGTGAGCGCGTTTTTATGTAATACAATATATATAGCGACGGATGCTTATCGAAATAATGGCAAGAAAATATAAAAAATGTCAGGATATCAAACATTTTCCATCATCTGTAATTTCTTTATTATCCAAAAGTACAGGCGGTAAAAATAGTAATCAACCAATAAATCAAACATATGGAACCCTTGATTATTTTTTTCTCGAAAGTTTCTTTTTGATAGTCTCATCACCCACAAAAATGCCTTTTTGATTGTAAGGCTCCGGTTTCCGCCACTTTCTAATATTAGCCGCAAATTGTTTCACCTCTCGCCAATCTGTTCCGCTCAGCACGATACGCGTCGGCGAAGGTGTGTGACAGGTAATACCCTCGGGGACTTCTAATTCTACTGGATGCGCGAATCCAACGCGTAATACCAGTTTTCTCGCTTCCTCCATGTTAGCACGGTATCCTACCCCGACGAGACGCAACGGGACTTGGAAACCTTCACTTACACCGATCACGTAATTTGCTATTAAGGCGCGTGTAGTGCCCCACATTGTTTTCTGTTCTTTCACACGTGGGTCTTCTACAGTTATTGTTAATTTTGATTCTAAGATTTGTGAATTGGAGACGACCTGCTCTCTAACGCCATCGATTAAAATCGGTTTTACAAAATTAAGGCGAATATACGGTTTAATAGGCAACGTGTGAGTTCCAAGTGGACCACTGATTGTTAGCATGGTGGAATTTAGTTCGCTTGGTACCCTTGGTCTTTTTATTGGAGTTGGGTCATGCGTTAATGTCACTTCCGGTGGATAGAGAATCGGTGCTCGACCAATATGCGAGTTTGTTGTGCGAGTGGTAGAGAAATTTCGTTGAGCATTGGTTTTTATTTTGGCTATTCTTGATAATGAATTTAGTGTGATAATAATAATATTATTATTATTCTCCCTTTTAACAATGTTATTGCATCCACTAATATTTCTGCTCCTAATACCATTAATAAAACTGCTGCTCATATATCGTTTCAACATGATATCAATAATCGCGTAAATTTTTTTGCTTACTATTCATTGGTTGCTGGAGCGAAACTAAAGGCTTATATGAAAATAACTAGACTCAGAAAATTACGTTAATTACGACACAAATTGATTAGATTTATCAAAAATACCATTTCTTCAGAAATTCCTATCATCAAAAAGATATAACTTTCTATCAGTCACCTGAAATTTGTTCGTGGCGTTATAAAAAATGACGCGAGTTTGTATGTTATCATCACTTTAATACAACTTTTTACAATAAATTTTTTGTTTTTTATTTTTTTTTATTGTTATTCTCATATAGATGGTAGTTGTAAAATAAGATTACAGCATTTGTTTGTAATATAATAATAATAATAATAATAATAAAATAAAATACTGATGCTATACATACGCCACATTACGTGAATGAAAGCGTGGATATATTTTTTATTTTTTTTTCTTTTTTTCGAGAAAAATATACAAAGAATTTGACTGTGATTGATAAAAATTTATCATTAAGATTATTATTTTAAGTTTATCGAATTAGATGTATATTTCTTTAACAAATAAGCAATCGGTCCAATTGATAAATAAACCAACAAATGTAAAGTTTATTTATTTTTCGCCTGTGAAAAGAAGAATCAAGAAAAATTGTTTAGTATTTCATCGTAATGTATCCCTAAAATTAGGTAAAGCATTGCTTACTTTTTTCAATTGATGAGTGACCGCATGCACATCAACAACATCCAAAGGCCGTTTTTGTTTCTTCTCGTTATATTTCTTTTCGTACTGAGCATGATGATGAGAATTATGATGATACATTCCTGCTCCAACAGCCGCGGCTGGTGGATAGTATTCGTAGTTTGCTGGGTATCCGTATGCGTATGGATTGTGAGGCGGATACGGTGGATAACTAAATATGAGATAGAATATTTAGACTCATCTTTAAATAAAGTAAAATGGACGTAGAAAAAAAGCGACATTTACTTATATCCATAAGGATCAACACCAACTCCGCCAGCGTACATATTTCCAACGAATGGATGATGAGGTTCAGCGTAATACATTTGATCATTTGCTCCGTCCCGATAACCAACTTCCGATGCTGCGTAATAGGTATGATCGGTATTTGTTCCTCCTATCCTATTAGGAACTTCTCGTGATGGAGGTGAGTACCTTGAATCATTCGTGAATGTTTTGATAGTTGATGTTACTGCTGCAGTTGCAGTTGTTGTTGTTGTTGTTGTTGTTGTTGTTGTTGATGACGACGTATCACGACTAGTATTGTTAACATTGGCATTAGTAGTGGGATGTGGCGAAGGAGGATTGTTCCGTGGTCTTGGTTTTGGGGATGTGGAAAGTGGAGTGGTGGGTTTTGTGGCATTATTGTCTTGAATGTTATTAGTGTTATTATTTAGATTGTTATTACTATTTATATTGATATTCTTTGTATTGTCATC